TGTATGATCAATCCATGATTGTTCATCAAATGAAGCAAAACACCAACAAAGACGCATATTGATTGCTTTCATTTTCTTATAATTTTTTTTAATCACTATTTAAAATCTCTACTCGTAATTCAAATGGTAAAATTGCGAAAGATATGAATTTAAAGTGGAATAGCCACAGGAAATTTTTTATTACAGATTTATGTATATTATAAGTTAGATATTTAAATATTTGACAATGTATTAATTAGTATGGTAAAAATTTTTTATAAATTAAGTTGAATTTTACAAATCAAATGAACAAATTTTCACATGTTACCATCGAAAATAATAAAGTATTTATAATTTTAAAAACTTGTTTTATGTTCGTATGTTCCTATTTTTATTTCTTAACGAACACAGAAGAACCTTGAATTACGAGTAGGGTAAACTAACCAGTGAAGGAACACTTAAGCTTCGCTTGTCTTTTAAAAAATCCTATTAATTTCAAAATTCGTAATTTTAGTTAAATGACAGTGTCAACATATTTGTTACAAATTGCAAATTATGTAAAAAAATTGTAGAGAGCTTACATAATATTGTTTCAAAGTTTTGGAGGTTCAAATAACAAGTAGTAAGAAGACCAAGTGAAGGAACAGCTCTTACCAGTGAATGTATACCCAGTAAAGGAACACTTAATTTTGGTTATTTTTTAATACTCTTTATAAATTTATAAGTCATACAAATATTTAAAAACAAGCCTATTCTTGAAATTATAACATATAAATACTTGGAAAATGTTAAATTTTTTTTTGTAATCATGAATTGAAAATTAAAGTCTCAACATATTAGCACATACTGTTCATTCACTGGGAAATCTATGCCCAGTAAAGGAACATGTCTGTTCCCTCACTGGTTAGAAGTTGTTTTTCGTATTTTTAACATACTTTTGATGCGGAACATCACTGAAGGTACAAGAAAATTAAAGCTTATCTTTTATTTTCATTAACTTAGAAAAAAACCCCGTGAAGGAACACTTGTTTCTTCACTGGTTTTTCATCGTTTGGTGATCCAGTGAATAAACACCCCTTATCTCACTACTTTATTATGCTATGATGCTTAAAAAAAATAAAACGTAACTTCAATAACTATGTTTTGAATTCTCTTTTTCACAGTGAGAAAAATAAAACTATTGCATGCAATCAATTCCACTTCAAACATATAAATACAAACACTCACCTTATAATTTTTTCAAAGAAACAAGGTGTTGCAGAGATAATAATAAATTCAAAATTTTTTCCAGAGAAGTCTATTTGGTCAGGTAATCCAAAACATTGCTAGATGACTTCCTATTGTTTGGCAGTAAGCTATTGTTACCAATCAATCTAAAGAAAAACTTTCAAATTCTTATTTTTAATCAATATATAGGAAATGTTCCTTCACTGGTTGGTTTACCCTATACAATGTTTAAGAAACAATCATGCAACGAAATGAATTTTATGATACGAAGTTTCTAAAATGCAGATGAGTCATTCACAAAAAATACTATTCATTATTCACGTTAAATGTTTCAAATATTAAGAATATAAGAATTAACGTTTTATGGCCTATATCGCACTTCTTTACCTCAGTGCCTGATTAAGCAATTTTACATGTTAGAAGGGTTTAGGGCAATATTTTAGTAAGCCACATTTTTTTAGATCTCATTGAGTTTATACATCATACTGTTCCTTAGCATTGCTTTCAGATAAATATTTTAGAAGTTTTCGGAAGTTGTGCTTGATGAAGGCGCAATACAAAGAAACATGTGACCTAAATCGGCGAGTTTCCATCGAAATTGTTCGATTAAAAATTTTAAAATTACATCTGCCGTAAAATTTAAATATGCTCTTCATATTACTTGATTAAAAAAAGTTTCATTGACTTCAGAAGTAAGAAGATGAAAGTAAAAATTGACAAGTTTCAAGCTCTTAAAAATAAGCATTCATTTTCAAGACTTGTCAGACGTAATCGAGACGTTTGTTGTAGACGTATGCCATTTCAGGCAAAGAAGGTGCAATTGTTCTTGTTTTCCAGTGGCGCCATCTATGGTCAATATTTATCAAGACGTTTAATCAAGTAATATCTTACCGTATTTATTAAAGATCTTAAAGAAGTATTTATTTAAGATCTTCATATGTTTAATTACTTGCTGAATTTTTATTGTGTGTAAAAGAACTATCAAGAAATCGTATTTAACTACATTTTATTATTTGATTTCTAAATATCTTTTACAGTATTCTTTATGATTACAACAATTGATTTTTTTTGAGCCGTGGTGGTTCAGGAGATAGAGCGTTCACCTCCTATTGAGGTTGCCAAGGTTCTAATCCCAGTGGTATCGGTTTAATACAAATTCTGCTTCAGGCTCGCGTAGACAACAGCGGTGACGTTAAATATTATCAGTATTAAATGGATCATGGGATAGAAACGTGGTATAACCGTGGGGGTCTTCGCTGTTTTCCCTTCCATGTAACGCAAGTGCGGCAACATTCCCTCAAAAAGTTCTCCACCAAAGCGAGTTTGTCTCAATGCTTGATTCAGGAGTTCCCGTGTCTTCTTGGTTGGGTTCAAAATTAAAAAGCTGTGGAGTTGAACATTGATCGTAATCTTAGAATTGGATTGGAAGTTCAACGACGGTTATTAAATAAAACTTCTCATAAAATATACAAAACCTAGATTTTTTAAAAATAAAATAATAAGAAATAGCATAATTCAATACCGTAATTTACGATAAAAATTTCCATTTAAAAGAATCAAGTTTCCTTGTTTAAGGCTTTGGGAAACATATTTAAATTTAATCTAATCGTATTTTTATTTACTTGAAGTGTTTTGTAATAAGCAATTTAAAATAAATTTTATTATGTTTTTAATATCTGCAGAATTTATCAAACAATTTCTCCTTATCGACAGTATCACTCCAACTCATTGCTATTCACAGAAGAGTAGCAATGACAATAACCAATTCATTTTTCCAAATGCATAATTTTAGAAGTCTCTGTCAATAATAGTTATGTCATAAATCCTGAAAAATATGTTTATTTCTTTAATTATTTACAAAAAATATTTTGGTGAACGATATGATCAAACAACAATTGAATTCACTGAATTTGTTATGGAAACAGGACTATATTGTTTTGAAAATCTCATTCAAAAATGGTTATCAAGCAGAGTGAATTAGGCTAATTTTGGTTAATTAGGTTAATTTATCAAGCAAAGTGAATTAGGAAAGCGAACGGGAACTAAATCTGTCAGAGATGGGTTATTGCGAAAAAGTGAGCCATTATTTTTCGAAAAAGTCGATAAAATAAAAACATTAAGCTTATTTTAACTGAGCAATTTTAAGTTTTGATGTAAGATGTCTGTGTATTTCCAAGAAACAGAATTAGCGGTGAAGTAATCTTAAGGGGTAGTAGTTAGCAAAGTGAACAGGTGGCAGAAGCACTTTAGCTTTATCATAATCTAGCAAGTCTGGCTCTTTCAACAAAGTATAGCTATTTTCCTATGGCTTTTTCTAATTCTTCACAAAATCTGTTGATAACAGGACACATCGTAAAGAAAGAAAAATTTGAAGTGGTGAAATTTTGAAAATTTGTGAAGTCCGAAAACAAAAGTTGTTTAGATAAAGGAATAAAGATGTCTTTAATGTTTTTTTAAAATTCTTGATCAAAATCGAGTTCTTGACGTTGTTCATAACTGACATTACAATTGAACTATAACTGATTCTTGCGTGTAAATAATGAATATAAAGTGAAAAATGTGAAAAGCGAGAAAATAACGAAGGAAAGGAAGAAGAGAACAAATGAAGCGAATCAGTTAATCAGCGAGGCATTGAATTGGCGGATTAGTTGAATAAATAATCAGTGTAAGAGGGTGAATTAGTGAAAGAAGGAATCAATGAAAAGGTGAATCAAAGACTCTGTGATAAAATTTTATTTTATTTCATAACAGGCGTTGAACGGTCGACTCCATTCTGAGTTTAAAACTATAAACTCCGTAGCCTTGTAATTTTAAACCCAATCTAGAAGACAAGGGAATTCCTGGATCAAGCATTGAGACAAACTAGTCTTTGCGGAGGACTTTTTGATGGAAATAACCCGCATTTTCGTTACATGGAGAGGAACATTACGAAATCCTCCCACGGTTAGCCAGACAACAAAGGGACTTTAACCCATGTTCCGTCTGTCATTATTCCCAATATTTTACGTCAGCACTGTGTTCGGTGCCAGCCGGGAGGAGAATTCATATCAACCAGCCACTGCTGGGTTTCGAACCTGGTTCAACTCACAGAGAGGCGAATGCTCTATTACCTGAGCCACAATTGCTCAAAGTGAAGAGAACGATCAAATCAGTGACTGGATGAAAAAATTTATAAATAAATAGAAATAATAGAAATGTGTAGTTCTTTGAACCGTAATCGATCACCACAATTCTTTTTTCTTACGTGGAACTGCTTTTGAGATAAAGACTATATTTTTTGAAACAAGCGAGTTTTGAGAATTAGATTCTGCTCAATTATCAATCATTTTCAGCCATATTAAACAGGGCTTTTATGACTCCTACATTAATAACGGCATTGTCAAAGTGAAAATAAAAATGTCTAAGCCATTTACCATTTCTCAAAAAACAATGTAATCTTTTAGCATTAGTAGTTGCGTACTTTCCTGCCTGTTGTTTAACTCCTGTTGCTAAACCCTACCATTTATGATATAGATTACCACCACCCGTACGTTTCGTGTCACGCTTTTCTAACTTAATAAAGCACGCAAAGGACTTGTTTGCTTGGATGGCTTCAGACAATGAAATGACCATACTAAAAACTCCTTCTAATTGTTAATGCTATGATCATTACAACTCTTTTACCTACCCAACTATACTTGCAAACAGAGTAATTTAGTAATTTTTTTTCTTCCTTTCCTCACACTTATGGAAAAAATTAAATGAAAGAGGAAAAACCTTTTTAACTAAATTAACAAAAAACAGAGTCAAGGTGATTGTTTTTGCCAAGGTATTTTCGAAATCTTCCATTAAAATTGGAGGTATTTTTCTGTTTGTGACTTTGAGGAATCACAATAACTCCGGCCACCATGGATGTTAACACGTCCTACGGGAACAAAATAGTCGAGGATTTAAAGGTAAAATTATATACTGAGTTTTTTTTATTTCATAAAATACTAAGTTAATATTTTTTATTTATACGATATGAAGATAGTTGTTAAAAAATGTAGCTCTAATATTGTAATTTTATTTGAAAAGAACTTGTAAGTTTAATACTTTTTCATCCGCTATGTTTTTGGGATATATGTATAAAAAAAAACAGTTTTGCCCATTGGACTCATGAATATATTGACATTATAAAAGTTTTTGAATTATTAAGTTATAATTTATAATAATGTAGGGTGTATAAATAACAATTTTATAATTTCAAAATTATTAGTAATAATAATAATAATGTTACGGTTAGGCTTACTATTAACAGTTTAAGCAAAGGCAAGAACTTTAATTAAAAAAAATGTATCTTTAGTACTTTACAACCGAATTTTTTGGAATATATAAAAAAGAAAAACGAAGTTTCGCCTGTTGTGCTCAAGAACATCATTGATTGAAAATATAAAAGTTTTTGAATTATTAAGTAAGAACATATAATAAGTAGGGTGTATGAATAACAATTTTATATTTAATTTAATTATTAGTAATAACATTGATGTTACTGTTTGGCTTATAATATAATAGTGAGCAAGGGCAACAACTTTAATTTAAAAAAAAACAAAACTGTATGTTCAGTACGTTTTCAACCAATATGTTTTTGCGACAAAAAAATGAGGATTTGTTTGTTAGATTCATGAATGTTATTGATTGACTTTATAAAAGATTTGAATTATTAATAATTTTTCTTAAATAATGTTGGGTGTATATATGAATAATAATTTTACTATAACATATATGTTGCAGTTTGGCTAACAGTAAGCAAGGCAAGGATAAATAATTTTGAAATAATATAGATTAATTTTGTATGAAATCAACTTTCAACTTGAATGTTTAGTTAACTAGCAAGGGTTAACAGAACAATGAAAATAATATTTTTTTTTTCTAGTAAGAAGGAGTTTATGAATTGGAAAATAAACAAAGGGGAGTTGTATTTATTTGTCTTGAAAGTACGGATAAATCTGATAAACTCATTTTAAATCAACATAGATTGGATAACTTTAGCAGATTTTATCTTCTATTAATTTCACGCAGGGAAACTTAAAAATGTTAGGTGAATAAATTTCATTCTATGATATATCGTATTAAATTTTTATTAATTATTTACTTACTTCTATTCTATACTGAACAGTATAATGTAGATCAATTTTGTATGAAGAAAATTATTATTCATGCAAAATTAATTACTGAAGAATTAAATGAAATTAAAATATCACCAATAGTGACAAAAAATTCCCAATATTCCTATTTATCAGAAATTCTCCGTCCATTTTCATGAGTGCCAAATTGTATAACACAATCTTACAATTTTACTTATTTTAAATTCAATTTAATCAATTTAAATTATTTTGCTTGATATTACCTGCCATTTAATAATATTTATAGCGGTAGTAGCAGTAACACTATTAAAGACACTTTAACTACGTTGGTTGTTCTAAGCGCATTAGTTTTGGTTTCTGTATTGTAAAATGAATTTCTTTGAAAAATATTAGAAATATTTTTTTGGTAAGATGCATTCAGCTTCAAAAATATTTATTTTTTTGGCATTTAAATTGTGTTTTTAACAATAGAGTTTGGTTCTTAATAAATTATGCATGAATTTGGAGCTTAAATACGTTATATTGCTTAAGTCATGTGGTCAAATTTCGACATGGCCATTTTCTTGTTTTTTAGGGGCCAAACTTTTGAACAAAAATGCTTTTTCCAGAAATTTTGTAGAATCACGATTTTGTTTAATATTTTTCAGGAAGAGGCTTTTTATGGTGTCAGCAAACCATATGCATGTAAAATGTTTAAAAGCTTTCTATATAGGCTATATTTGGGAAATTCTTTGGGCGGCTCTAAACATGTCAAAAAGTTTTTTTTCAAGTATTTTTTGAAGTCTCATAGTATACCTTTTATTTGTCCTAGTGAAAAATCCATTTCCTTCTGTATATGTAAAAAAGAGGTTGTTTAGACATTCCGTCAATCCAATAATTGCGCTTTTGTGCAGAACTTTCTTTTCCATAATTTTTTATAGGTTCAAAATTTGTGACTATTTACACGTTTTTTATGCACAAAAAACTATTGATTTTAGAAATTCATTCGTATTGAATTTTATTTATTTATTTTGGTCAGAATAACTAGGAAAACATCGCGTTTTATTTCACCATAATAGAGTCACACCTGGTATCTATTTACTGTGTTTGGTATTATTATTCTATCTCATATTTATTTTTCTCCACAATTTTAGATAGAAATGGAAACTATCCTCGAAAATTTTGATGACTTATGGTCCGGCGGGGGTGAGTATGCGGTTAGAAATTCCTCACCATGATCAATCATAATATAGTTTAACTTTGTGAGATCCTTAATTTGATGATCATGAACCATATTTTCGTACTTCCTAAACCTAAATCTTAATTTCCTGAACTTAATATATCTGTCTATCAATAAATGAATAAATAAATGAAAAATTTTTTTAGAGCAAAGCTCAATTATGTTATTTTAAACAAATAACCATAAATAAAAACTTGAACGCTCAATTAAAATTGTAACTATTTCCTTAAAGATTTCAAATTATAATGTTAAATTGTAAAAAAAAGGAAAATATTGAAAAAATACTGATTTAATGTAAATTTATTGTCTAAAAATAAGAAAACAATTTTCAATGTGAAATACCAATAGTATAAAATAATCTATTTTTAGGAAAGTATTTTCATATCTATCAATAAATTTCATAGTTATATTATATACAATATTTTGTTACTTACCTGTATTATTTATTGTTTTGTTACCTTTATCATTTTATTACCTACACTGTAAAAACTTTCGGATCAAATTAAAGAATAAGGTACTGGAACTTTTGGTACATCACCCGTAAAATCCATTTTTGCCGCAAAATAATATACCGTGATTTTTACAGCAATATTTATTTAACTTGAGGGATTCCCTGATTTTACGGTAATTATTACAGTAAAAATAACGGTATATCAGATATTATGTTTCGTAACCCGTATCAGTAAAAATTGTTACGGTAAGAATCTACTGCGGCACCCCGAGTGCCGATACTTTTTACCGTGATTTGATCCCGAATTTTTTACAGTGTTTCTGTATTTTTTATAATTTTGTTATTTCCCATCAACTCCTTTTATAGTTTGATACCTTCATTATTTTGTTATCTTTTTTTAATGAGTACTGGAAATAGGTAATATATAATCAAATATGCATTTTTATTAATAAATTTGAACTTTACATATTTAACTAAATATTTATTTAAAGATTTTTTTCTGCATTTATACTGTATTAGTTTTAAGTATCAAACTGAACAATCTTTATTAATATTTAAAATTTATATAAGCTTTTTTTTATATGTAATTTTCTTACATGAATACAATGTTACTTTTTTTAGATCCTGTTACTCGACAACGTTTCTTCCTACGAACGATCACACCCATGATCGTATCCGTGACTTGTTATGTATTATTTGTCGAACTTATAGGCCCAGCCATTATGAAGAACCGGAAGCCAATACAAATGCGAAAGTTAATGACAGTTTATAATTTCAGCCTAGTCATATTTTATCTTTATTTCCTTTTTAGGGTGAGATTTTTTTCTAATTTTCTTTCTTAACACTATATTAATTTATAATCCTTTTCTTGTGGGATTTATTTGCAGTATTAGAAATTTCAGAAAAAATTTGTTAATTTTACATCATTTACATTATTATTTATTGCATAGAAATAAAAATAAAATTTGAAATATAGGATTTCTCTTTTAGAGACGCGACAATTGAAAAAAAAAAAAAAAAAAAAAAAAAAAAAAAAAAAAAAAAAAAAAAAAACACAACAGAACACCAAGCTTAAAGTTGTATTAATTACGTATATATGTATCTTAATAAAGGGTTGGTAAACCTACATATTCTAATATACTATGATAATCGCGCCAAATATATATTTGTCGAAAACTGAACGTGTCAAAGCATGAATCATCAGGGGACAAAATTCAATATTCCAGTGAGAAAATATGAAAAACACTTTCGAAATTCAGCTAATCATGATTTAGGATGATGAGAATGAAAACACTAAAACCAGTTTGATGGCCTGATAAAGCTTGAAGGTGATTCTAATCATCGTCTTTCAATACCTCTCTGTTTCCACCGGAAATCTAACCCGGTTAAATGTTTTCAGAGTCGTCTTCCTATGCAAACTTTCGTTAAATTTGATAACTTGTTTTTGTCATTGAAACATGTCGAAAATGAGAAAATAAAAAAAATACAAAATTCTGACTATTTAAATTCAATTCATTTAACTGTTTACGTTCTAATTTTATTTCATTTTATAACCGTTGTTGAACAGCCGACCCAATTTTTGGTTTACGGTTATACTAATGTTCAACTCCACAGCCTTGTAATTTTGAACCCAATCCAGAAGACAAGGGAACTCCTGGATCTAGATTTTGATGGAACTAACCCGCATTTGCGTTACATTGAGAGGAAAACATCCCATGGTCAGCCTGACGGCAAGAAGACTCTAACCTATGATCCGTCTAATAGTAAATTATGCGTCCGCACTGTGATAAGTGCGAGCCGAGTAGCCATCGCTGGGATTTGAATCCGGTTCACATCATTGGAAGACAAAAGCTCTATGCCCTGAGCCATCACGGCTTTTATGTTCTAATTAGAATTTTCTTAATTGCTTATCAGTGAAGTGCTATTGTCTTTTAAGATTTTTTTGATTTGAACTGTATTGGCTTGTAATCGCTCGCCAACTCTCGGATCAGCTTTCACAATCCTTTTCGGATCGCTTCGCAATCCTTTTCTTGCTCAGTAGATACTAAATTTATGGTCATCTGGTATTTTTGTTTAAGTAATTCGCTCGTACTTTGACTAAAACTGTCTGGCATTTTCGCATTGCTAGGACAGCAAACTTATATGTTTAAAATTATTGAAAGCAGTAATACGCATAATAGTTAAAGAAAATATCGACATTTTCTTATATAAAAATGTACTAAACTTACCAATATGAATACCTTTGTTTATTACTCATGAGTTGTAATTGTTGAAATGAGTGTTAGAATTATAATATTTGTAAATAAAATTAATTTTCATGGTAAAAAACAAAAATTCGTTTGGAACGACCAATTAAACAAGAATATACTGTTTTTTATTGTTTTGCTGTTACAAAACTTGTTGCTTAGATAGTTTAGTTACTTTTAATTATGTGTCGTTATATTTCATTAATTAATTCCTTCATTCGTTCTAAAAAGAGAAAAATTAACGAAAATTCTTTTTAATAATGATTGTTTTTTTGAAAATGTATCTCAAATATATATATATATTAATAAAATAAATATACACCATTTATTACAATAAAATGATGAGAATTACATAAGTATCGAAAACTTGCCATATTATTTTTATTTGCGTTAAACAATATCATTAAAGTTTAATCTAACTTAATTCAAGTAAATTAATTAACTTATAAGTAAACATTTTAAATATATTAATGAATAATGTTAAATAGAACAAAAACTTCAAAAAAGAGTTAGTAAAATTAAAAACAAACGAAGTAGTCGTAACAGTTATTGTATAATTTATTTTTCGAAGTGTGAGCAGAATCATGTTTTTGGTGGCTTTTGTAGGAAATTTTTGTAAGAATCTTCATACATAAAATTTCAAATTAAATTGTTCAGTTTAATAAGTAGAATTAGAAGTTATACGATCATTAGCATAAAAATGAGTGACGGAAAAAATTAGTCAAAATACAACAATTCTTATTTTTACAAAATTATTTTCCATGTTTTGATGGTCACAACCTTTCTAATTATTATTTAAGTTCTATGGGGGAAAATTACATACATACAAAAATTGACATACACATTTTGGAGTCTCAACTTTATGAATTCATATCAGAAATAAATATTCACAAATCAAGATATTAAAAGATACAAATTTTGTTGCAAAATTTTATCTATCATTTAAAAATTTGTAATATTCACCACAATTTACTTTTATTTATTAAAAAATACATTAAACTTATAATTATTAATAGTATTTTAAATACCGGATTCCATTGCATAAAAAGAAAAAACTGACGTGCATTTTAACACATCTTAATATATTTTGGAATTGGAACAATTTGTGAACATTTTTAATATAAATGTTCAAGATTTTTACATGGATAGCGTATAAGTAATAGGCTAATTGGAAAACTTCCCTTTTTGCAAATCGCCAAAATCATTTGTTAGGCTTATTGCAAGGAGATTTACAGGCGCATTGCAAAGTGATGTCAGCAGTTTGCTAAAAATCAGATTTTCCAGTTAGACTATGTCGTATCCGTCAATTTACAATGCCTACTATTCATAGTATTAAAGTTCAAATATTTGCTAATATTGCATGGAAATAAAACTCCAGAATTCATTATTTCTGGAAAATAAATTTTTCAAATTTATATTTTTTAAAAATTAAAACGTATTGCCAATTTTTATTAAACAGTTTTTATTGTTAGCATAGAGGCAGTTATGACAAAACATTTTTTAATCATGTTGCTAAATTTGCTTTTCTTAACAATTTTCTGAAAGTTTTCAATTTTATGTAAAATCATATTTCGAAATTAAAAGCACGTAAAATAATTTTTTCTAAAAATATTACTTTATTTTCAATCAACAAATACTAAAAACAGAAACATATTTTTATGTGTTTTATTCTGCCTGTTTGCAATAGATATCTTTTTTGTTTGAACCTAATCTATTGTGCATTTATAGGGTGCTTTCTTCATACCTGTCTTAGGGTTTAATTTCATTTGTGGTTCACTCAATGAAAATGAAACGCCAATAATTCCAGAAGTAAGTTTGTTTCAATGAATTGTTATATATGTAAGAGAACGACAAATTATTAATTTAAAATTGGTGAATAACACTGGGGAACAAATGTTTCGTTGAATTTATACAAATACTTGATCTTGACTTATTCGGATGTGGGAATTTAAAATTTGAAATTAGTTTTGTTCATAAAACTACAGATTTATAGTTTTTTTTGTCGAAATGTACAAGTTTAAAAACGTTATGTGTAACATTGCTCGCGTAAACTTCGAGACAAATTTCCAGGGGAATTAAAGTCCATCATCAGTATTAAAATTAAATATAAACCCCATACACATAAATGCATCCTTACACTGCTAGAGGTGCATCCCCATTAAGAATTTTTTAGAATCCTTTAAGAAACAATTAATAGAAGGGAAACGCCCCTAGCGACATATGACGACATTTTAAGACAAAGGTTCCTGTGGAGTATTATTCCTGATGTTGTGCTGTAACTCCCTTAGAAGAACGCCGCAACATTTATGCGACTCCTTGTTATATATAGAGTTCTTAATCTTGTTCATTTCAACAAAAAATAGACTAAAAATGTCATTTAAAAAAGCCTGTAGCTTGGAGAGAGAGAACGATTGCAGATTTGAAATCAGTGACGTGAAAATATTCTAGACCCATTAAAAAATCTCATGCAGCATAAAAAAATGTTTCCTTGTGTAATTTTTGCTCTTTAATAAATTATTTTAAGATGATTAGTTTTAAGTCTACTAGTTATACCAATCTATTTTTCTATAGCTAAGAGAAATAATTCTGAAATAAATTTAAAAAACTAATTTACACTTTTCTTGAAAAATACTTTTGAGTTCACAATGATGGCTAAGCAATACATGATGAAGTAAAGCTACATGATTTCTCAAATGAATGATGTAAAAGTACGTTTTTCTTGCTTTTACACGTGGTATACAAGTGCAATGCAATTGATAATAAAAGTTCATTTATGTAGTTGATGTAATATAATTTTGCATTTTTTTAAAAAATATGTTCAGAAAAGTTTTAGTTCTTGACTTTCAAAAATTGTGCATCTAAAGGTTTTTTCATACGCGAAAATCCAATTTGGAAAATTATCATCTCAAAAGTAGAGGCCAAATGAAAGATGTTTTACAAAAATACATATTTAGTGTAAAAACTGTTACCGTAAACCGGGGCGAGTCTACCCATTTTTTCAGTTTGTCAACTTTCAAGTTGTCAAACTTTTGTAAATATTAAAGAAAAAAGGCTTTTAATAGGTGTTTCGGAATAGCTATTTATCCCTCTTTAAAGCTGTGATATCGATTTTAGAAAATATTAACAGTTACGCTNTTGTTGAAATGTACAAGTTTAAAAACGTTATGTGTAACATTGGCTCGCTTAAATGTCGAGACAAACTTCTAGGGGAGTTAAAGCCCATCATCAGTATTAAAATTAAATATAAAACCCATACCCAGAAATGTATTTTTACGCTGCTAGGGATGCTTCCCATTATGATTTTTTTAGAATCCTTTAAGGAACAATTAATAGAAGGGAAACGTCCCTAGCGATATATGACGACATTTTAAGACAAAGGTTCCTGTGGAGTATTAATCCTGATAGTGTGATGTAACTCCCTTAGAAGAACGTCGCAACATTTGTGCGACTCCTTGTTATATATAGAGTCTTTAATCTTGTTCATTTCAAGAAAAAATAGGTTAAAAAGGTCATTTAAAAAAGTCCGTATATTGGAGAGAGAAAGCGATTGCAGATTTGAAATCAGTGACGTGAAAATATTCCAGACCCATTAAAAAATCTCATGCAACAGAAAAAAATGTTTCCCAGTGTAATTTTTGTTCATTAATAAATTATTTTAAGATTTGATTAGTTTTAAGTCTACTAGTTATAATAATATATTTTTCTATGGATAAAAGAAATAAATCTGAAATAAATTTAAAGAACTTGTTTACACATATATTTTTTCAGTATAGTAATGAAATGATGTTGGGAAAAAATTATGACAAGTTAATTAAGATAGCTGATGTAATACGACTTCACACTTTTTTGTAAAAATGTGCTCAGAAAAGTTTTAGCTCTTGACTTTTAAAAATTGTGTATCAAAAGGTTTTTTCATACGCAAAAATCTAATTTGAAGAATTAGCATCTCAGAAGTAGAGGCCAAGTAAAATATGATTTACAAACTTGCATATTTAAAGTAAAAACTGTTATTTCCTTTACAAATTTAAATTCTAAATAATAGTTTATATTAAATGTTTTGAGACTTATTACATAATGATTTAGTAATTTTTGAATTCTATTTCTTTATAATTAACACGAAATCACATGATTTTAGACGGAACACGATCGCTCAAACATTTAATCTAACTATTTTCTCACTAGACTGGGTCGAAAAAAATTAATTTTTGAATTTCTAAGCGGTTTAGAGAGGAGAAGTTACCTATTGTAACGAAAATAAAAGCGACATAGAAAACTTTAAAATTTATTAATATCTTACCTTTGCGCACCGTGCTTGCAATTATTTTTTAAGTTGACTAAAATATCTGAAATAAGCACGCTTTACTTTGTTATGTTTCTTTAATCTTTTGAATAATCTAAGAAAATTAAATTCTGATAAATATTTTATTTTTTTATGTTCAAACGTTTACGTTTTTATGTATAATAGTGTCTTTATAAGCTCATTTAGTTCATTCTAATCATTTTATGTTTAATAATGCATTTATATGATCATTTACATCATTTTAGTAATTTTAAGTTAAATAGCGTTTATATATTCGTAAAATTACTAACGCTATTTTATGATAATTAATTGAATTATTTTTATAGGTCTTTGATTTAGGATATCAGCTATATTTTGTAAGGTACATAGAGTTACTAGACACGGTGAGTGTTTACATATATTTTAAAATACGAATGCATACGAAATATTCTGTAATGTAATCCTTAATATATTTCCTAAATACAATGTTCCTTAATATATATTTTTCGATTCCTTGCAAAAATAAAGTTAATGAGAATACACAGTAAGGATGTAAATTATTGTTTAAGTAAGGAACTTCTCTTGATTTCAGATTCAGACGTCAGATTGCTTTAGCTTTTTTGCTTTTCTCTCCCTTAATTATCATTTGTGACCCCTAACATGTGTACTTTTTTTATTTCCTTTACGACAAGGAATCTAAAAATATGTATCAAAGATAGATATTACAAAATATGCTGTATTTATTTATGTTTTTTTTTTATTCTGAATGTTGCATTTTGACGTGTAGAAGTTTTTTCAAATACAATCTACAGCAAAAAAATCGACGCACCAAGAATTGGTGCGTCGATTTGGTGGATCGATTTGGTCGAAATTGGTGGATAGGAAGACAATAAACAGAATAGTAAATGATTAAAATTTCAGAATAATTGAATAATTTATTGCAGAGTTACAGTAACAAGTTCAATAAGGTGTTGACCCGCCTCTAGCCTGGATACAAGCTGACACACGGCGTGGCATAGACCGATAAAGCTCCCGGATGGTCTCTAGCGGGATTTCCTGCCAAATTCGATCCAATTGTCGAACGAGGTCATCAACATTCCGTGCCAGATGCAATCGCCCTCCCATCATATCCCAGACATGCTCGATGGGAGAGAGATCTAGTGATCTGGTAGGCCAAGGAAGAGTTTGACAAGCTTGCAGACAGCTCAAAGCAACACGTGCCGTATGTGGTCTGGCATTGCCCTGCTGAAAAACCAGCCCAGGGCGCTGCAAAAGGAACGGTAGCAAAGCAGGTCTCAGGATGTCGTCGACGTACCGCTGTGCAGTAAGTGTACCTCTAATGACGACCAAAGGAGTCCAGCTGTCAAAGGAAATGGCACTCCAGACCATAATGCCTTGTTGAGGGCCGGTGTGGCGTGCAATAGTGAAGGCAGGATCCCCCCTCTGCCCTGTGCGTCTCCAAACACGTCTTCGATGATCGTCAGGACACAGTTGGAAGCTGGATTCGTAGCTAAAGACTGACTATACGTCCCCAGTCAGCATCATTCTAGCCATACCTGTTCAAAACATTCATGCAAATTCAAAGCAATCGGATGATTGCTTCTTGGTGCGTGTATTTTTATGTTATAGACTGTATATGACTTCAAAAGATGTTTTGTGATCTTCAATAACTTTTGAGATACTAGGGTCACTTGAAATTCATGATTCATTAAGTAACTCTAAAATAAATGCAGCGTAAATCTTTGTTTAACAACCCTATTAAATTTCCGTGTTTTTTTAAAATTTTCTTTTCACAAAAATGCTGTTTTTTTTTACAGAAAATAAAAAGACGTTTTTTTTCAACAGCACCGTATCATATATTTTTAAAATTTGTTTTAATAAACTAATTTTCGTGTCAAATTATTCAGGTGTTTCTGGTGTTGAGTAAAAAAAACAACATGATTACACCTCTTCATGTCTTCCATCATGCCATTGTTCCCGTCTTTGGATTTTTTGGATTTCGATCAGAAACGAGTAAGTGATTTATATAAGTTGCTCCACTTACACGAATAGTTCATGTTTTTAAAATAGAAATTTCCTTAAAAATGCTTTTAACCTATCGCGGAATGAGTTACCACAGTTAAAACGGGAAAGAAAATTCTTGTAAAATTAACGTACTCTTTAGTAATGACATCTCTGCTAAATAAGCTCCTACAATTCGGGTAATAAAACCAAAATATACCGCATTAAAACCATTCATTTGGTAATTTTTCCACTCATATGATAACAGTTAACCGGAAATTTCGGTTTTGAAAATAACAGTTCTCATAACCACACATTTAGTAAAAAATACAAAACTGAAAAGTAAATTTAACCTAATATAGGGATTTTATGTCATGCTTTAGGGTATTATGATAAAATTACCGATTTTTAACCACAATTATCAAATTTTATCATTTATTACAAAATTATATTTTATTTTTATTTTACAAAAACCGTTATTAAAGCGATTCAGTAAAAATTATCGGGCTTTTTGGTGTTCCTGTAGAGTCAGAAACGCGGTAAATTTTAAAGTATTCTGATAGTTTTGACCATATTTTTTTCTCAGAGTATGAAGGTAACGTAATATAAAAATTAAACATTTTTTTTTCAAGTGAACTAAAAAGGAGAAAATAATTCTTTTTTAGTAACCTAAAACATAAAATTTATGACACAAAACTTGAGAGAAACGTGTGTGTTTAGATGGGGGATATTTTTGTGGCGGTAGTAGTGACGCGCACTATGGTGACGAAAGTGACGCGCACTATAGCTTTTTTGTTTTAAATTTAATTTCAGGTGTGGCAGATATGGAATTAATTTCCCTTTTTTCCCATGAAAAATGTAATTTATAAAATTATGTTCACTTATTATTTTTCATTTTTCTTGGTTTTGTGTTTGCTCGATCGTTTATTTCAGAAAGTGGGAAAATATTTTTGATTGTCGATTAAATGAATGTAAATTTGTATGCAAAATTTAATAGATAATTGATACTTTTTTGTCCTCAGTCATACTGTTCCAGAGAAAATTTTGGAAGCCTAGTTGAAATTCTGGCTAGCCGGAAAGATGTTGAAATTTCAATTGACACTGAACTCTACATATCAACAATATAAAAGATAAAATTTGCAATTAAATTTAATAAAATTTGCAAGATAAAATTGCTGTCAGGAAGCAATGGAAATTTCTATCATTATCTTGAATTAAGCTCTAATTAAAGTGTACTTAGCTTTTCGAAATGTGGTCTAATTTTTGATTGATGATAAATTTTTCTCAGACGATAATGTGACTATAAATTCTGCTCATAACTCTCAACAATAGAAACTTGTGCGCTCATCCAAAAAAATCTCCAGTTAACTTTCATTGCTCTTGCTAATCAGAAAATAGTCTGAAATTTGGCAGACAATAAATATTTTTTTGGCAATGAAGTCGTACTAAATTCCGTTTGTCATGATCAAGAAAGGATTGAATTTTTATTGTCATTCAGAATAGAGCCCAGTAAGGAAATGTAGACTGGAGCTATTTGGAAAATTTTTGGAATTTTTTCTTGTGTTTTGCAATAAGGTATTTTGTTGATATTATCGCAAGGCGGTCAGAAAAGGATTAAAACTTGCATTGTTATCCAACTCAAGAGCTCCAGTTGAGATTTGAGTGCTGTAGCTAACCGGAAAGTAGTCAGTATTTCAATTAGAGGATTCCACCCTCCCACACGAAAGCAAGTTGGTAAAACTGCTATAATTTATTACCATGCAGTCAAGTATCTGAAGTAAAAGTCAAATATCAAGCACTGTTTATACAATCAGACAGTAATAAATTGTGCGTTTGTAAATTGAATTTGTATAAGCTGACCTTCTTTTTTTTGTTTTGTTTAAACAAGCGTTCGAAAAATCTTTCAGTTGCCTAAACTTTCGGACCGATAAAGAATTTATTGAAGATGATTGATGGTTATCTTCCTGCCCTGCCTGCAGTTTAAAATATCCCCTCAATTTGTATTGTATTGCATCTTACTTGATTACATCGTAACATATGTTAAATTGAGCAACTGAAATTGCAACTTATTCAAATTTCTACACTTATCAAGAATATTTCTTTCCAATATTAATAACTATAAACACCGTGTTTAGGTGGGTACCTTGCAGTTTTCATGGCGTTAAATTCCATAGTTCACATCGTCATGTATACCTATTATGGTATAGCCGCAATGGGACCAGAATATCAAAAATATGTGTGGTGGAAGAAATATTTAACAACTTTTCAAATCGTAAGTATTTTCTTACTTCACTCCTACATTCCATTACATTTTAAAATTTATACACAAAAAACGAAAAAATGATTTTGACAAAAAAGTAAGATTCTCAACCTTTAACTCTTCATGTGCCCCTCCTTATTTTTATTTGAAGTCACTATTAATTTAGTAAACGTTTCAGTAATTCGATGAGTTAGAGCCTTTGTTATCTTTTATTCTAGACTATTATTTCAACTAAAACTTTTATGCAAGGGTAAAAATAATATTTTGTAACAGTTTCAAACTTTTGGTTGAGAGAAATGCTTCATAATTAATATTTTGGTTGAAAAACTGAATGGCTTCTATCTTATTTTTTTTTGAGATAGTGCTGTATTTAATAAATATCCATATCTTTTACATAAAAAACATCCCACCATGGGAAAAACAGTTTCAAACGAATGATGAATCCAAGAAAGGCGTGAACAATCGTTCGATCAGCAGCTAGAGATTTTCTACGTTCTTCACATTGTTTTACTTCTATCTCAATGACACAAATATTTAAATAATTTAGAACAAGATATTTAAATAATTTAGAAAAAAAATTTTAAGTTTTTTTTTAAATAGTGAGAAAGCTTGAGAAATATTGAGAAATTTTCTTATTGAATGTTCATAACACAAAGAGTTTTCTAAAAACATTTTAAGTTTCTGTGAAATGTTTAGGAATCTACAAAATACACGTATAAAGTTTCAATCTTGAGAGCTATTAACAAATATGAAAAGTAAATTCAAAATTGTAAAGAATTTTACGTAGTACAGGTACATAGTCAAAAATGTAAGTCAAAAATTTTACTTAAGGCATAGACAATTTTTAAGAACCTAATGGCAACATTATTATTATTTCCAATCATTATTATTTCTAATCATTATTTTTACTTCTAATCATTATTTTTTATCTTTAATCACGATCCTAACCAAATAATGACAATATATCAAAAATAGGAAATAAAACATTAAAGTACTGTCTTGGTACACGAAGATCACTCTATTTTATTTTCTGAGAATGAATTTATAAACTATTGAACTAACTTTTATTTAATTGCAAAAAAATGAAGGAATTAAATTGAGAACAATTTCGAATTTATTTACACTTATATTAAAACAGTTAAAGCATTATATTTGACATTGATTTAAACTTCTATTTGATTTATTAAAACAAGGTGTTGCATCTTGAGAGAGTTTGTAATTTCTTTTTATTTGTTGCGATATTTTTATTTTAAAACTATTTGAGGGAAAAATGTATATCAGAAGAAAAGGTGTTGTCTCCAGATTCTACGTCTTGCTGTAATTAAAACTAATTAAGTTGTGAAAACTGTCTCAAGGTAACGTGTGTGAAAAAAAGAAAAAAAAGCGATTGCCTTGAATAATTTTAGACTAAATGATCATATCTTCACAGACGTTTTCACTTCGTGTAGACGATATTTTAAGTTACGAAACCAGGCAGAAAATGCATTTTCTCTGAAAAAACATAACCTTTTTTCGACGGATTTGGATTTCTGATCCACAAAATATAGGGGGTAGCCACAATGTTTGAAATATGAGTCACGATTGCTTAGGGTATAGAGAGTTCGACTTCAAAGAGGTGAGCCGGGTTCGAATCCCAGCGATAGCTGGTCGATACGAATTCCGCATCCGGCTTGCATGAACTACAGCGCTGGCGTGAAATACTCTCAGTGGTAGACGGATCATATGTTAGAGTTCCCTTGCCTGTAGGCTAACCGTGGGAGGCTTTCGTGGTCTTCCTCTCCATGTAATGCAAATACGGGTTAGTTCCATCAAAAAGTCCTCCACGATGGCAAATTTCTTTCAATACTTGATTCCGGAGTTCCCTTGTCTTCTGGATCGGGTTCAAAATTACAAGGCTACGGAGTTGAACATTCGTAGCTGTAAACTCAAAAATTGGGTCAGCTGTTCAACGACTGTTATAAAAATAAAATAAAATCTATGAAATACGGTTCCAATAGTTTGGTCAGAAGAGCGATTTAAAGTTTGGACTCCATAATGTTATTTTGTTTTGATGATATTTTCTCATATCTCGAGAACTTTAAGTGAATTGAAAAGTTTTTGTAAAAATTCATTTCTCCAAAGATAATTCCATGCAAAAAATAACTTTTAGTAAATATTTTTTTATTATTTTATTTAAATTGTAAATTGTAAAGTATGCAATGCTTCACAGAATTTTAAAGAGAATAGGTTTACATGGAAAATGTGAGCTAAATCGGTCGAATAGTTCTTGAGAAATCAAATTTCTCAGGAAGTATTTCTCAGGAATTATTTATCCACTTGCTTAATTTTTGAAATGATTTTACTTTGTCTTAATTTTGTATTTTGTCATGTGAAATTACTATCTTTAAAAAGATTCAAAAGATTGTATACCTCAATATAAATATTTTTTCGACGATTATTAAAAAAAAATATTTAATATTTACTAAAGTTATTTTTTGCATAGAATTATCTTTGGACAAACGAATTTTATATGTGTATGCAAAAAACCTTCAATTTGCTTACAATTTCTCGAAATTGGGCGAAATACGCAAAAAAAAAAAAAAAAAAAAAAANAAAAAAAAAAAAAAAAAAAAAAAAAAAAAAAAAAAAAAAAATTAACATTAAGGAGTCCAAACTTTGAACCACTGCTACGACCAAACTATTGGGACCATATTTCCCAAATTACGGCTACATCCTACATTTTGTAGGTCGGAAATCCAAATATATCATAAAAAAAGTAGGTTAATTTAAGGAATGTTCCTTTTGGTGTTTGATTTCGTAACTTAAAATATCGTCTGCACTAATTAATTAACATATTTCAAGTTCGAAACATACTTTTCCTTAATATATTATTGTTACATAACAAAGTGTTTTTTAATGATTTTAAACATAATCACAGACAATGTTTATTTTTCAGACACAGTTCTTCCTTATGACTTTTTATCTCCTCATCATGTCTTCCATTGGTTGCATCACCTCTAAACTAACGTTTGCTTTTTCATTTTTCTTAACGGTACTTTTTTTCTTCCTTTTCATCGACTATTATCGTAAGATCTATAATAGAGGTGAAAAAAAGAGTGAGAAAAATGGAATATACAAAAACGGAACCTACAAGAATGGAATCCCAGAAGCTTATAAGAATGAAACAAAGAAATTAGAATAAATTTTAATTAAAATAAAAACAGATAAACTGAATATTTATCGCTAACTGTAACGCGTTATGTAAGTTTCTTTTGTATTGAAATGTTTATCAATTTTTTAAAAATTTGTACATAATGATTGCTTGATTTGGAAGTCTTGGTCATTGAGATTAATTTCACACCCAAATATGGGAAAAGAATCTTTTCTTTATTAATGCAAAGAAAATGCAGCAGTGACCAAGATGTTTCTTAATGACTACCCTTAATCTATATATTTTGAATTCCTAACAAAAATGGAGCTAAACAACTGTGAAACAATCCAAAAAACAATCCTAAATTAATACTTAAGTGAAAAATATTTATTAAATGCAATGGAAATTCAAATCATTAATGATGAAAGCGAGACTGAAAACTTTATGCTGGAGGCAAAAAATTGAAGTTGAAAATCAATTATATATGACACCTCTTCCTTTTCTCTGGCAGTCAAACTGGTTTTGATGTTCTTTATTCGTCTTTTTTATTAGTGACTCATTAGATTGCAATGGTGTTTTTATTTTTTCTTTGCTGAAATATTAATTTGTGACCCTTAATGTTTATATTTTTTGGAATTTTTTTTTTTGCAAATGGTCTAAAAATATTAAAATATCAGTCATTACAGAACAATCTGTTTAATTAATGAAACATATCATTAAAACAAGTACTTGCATCTACATTTTAATATAGCTTATTTCATTGCATTATTCATTTTTATTGTCCAGTTTCTTTCGTTCCACTAACTGTGTAGACAGTTTCTCAAAAGAGCATTGCGGCAAAAAAAAATTTCTAGCACTTTTGAAATGAAAACTGAATTTTAAACGATGTTTCAATTTTAAACGAACTTTAGTTTTAAACGATGTTTTGTTATTAGCTATATACTATTAAAAATTGATTAGAAAAGCAGGTTTTTTTTAAATAAATCTTATTGATTGATGTTCTTTTTCAAGTCAGAGCTTACCTTTTCTCACTTGAGAAATATGAGCAATTCTACAAATAAACGCCAATTAGGCGGCCAAAAAAAAAAATATTGGGGGGCACACTATTTCTACATGAATTTTCTTCTTTTTTAAACCCTAAAAAGGAAAGAAAAAATCGTGAACATGAAATTTTTTCTTTGTGACATACTTTAAATGTGACATACTCTTTCTGACATACTCAGATAAATCTGAGCCGTTTATTCAGATAAAACGATTTTTACATAAATATAATATTATTATAATGTCTCTCTAATATGTATTTATAGAGATTTCATACTATAAGATTATANTGCCTTTTTAGGGTGTAAAGAAGAAGAAAATTCATGTAGAAATAGTGTGCCCCCCCCCAAATTTTTTTTTTTGGCCGCCTAATTGGCGTTTATTTGTGGAATTGCTCATATATGCATCGACAGCACTAAAATGTTTTGTATAATTTCTATTTATAAGTCTGTAATTATAGATACTGCTTTTACTGTAAATTCTAGACATCTAAATGATAGAAGATTGTGCTTTACAATTTAAATGTTGTTGCTTGTTTTTGTATTTTTTGTAATCAGGTTTCGTTAATAAAATTGATTTTTGTAATAAAGTTTCTTATGAATTTGAAATGTTAGTCATAATCCTTGTTTCTAAAATTGCTTTAATTGTTTAACATTATTCTTCAAAACCCCTAGCAAATCACTCTTTTTAGATTCGAAAACACACAGAAAAAAAGCCTTATAAGTTGATGTAAAAGAATATTTTTCTGAGTTATTGTTACTCTGATATTAATTACGCCACTTTATCGATTCATTTAAATATAGAATCTTTTATTCTGGTAAGTATGGGAAAATTATTATGATATTTTTGGCCATGGCATAGAAATAATTTATTCGGTTAAATTTACTTTTCAACTGAGTATTTTGAATAAAATGTGTGGTAATAAGAACTATAATTTTGAAGATCTGAATATTCGTTAAACCGTTACGGTATGAACTGAAAAATTACGAAATTAATGGTTTAAATGTCGTATAGTTTTGTTTCATTTCCAGAATTTTATTTATGTTATTTTTATTGCTTTTCTTTTTCCAGTAATGTCATTACTATACAGTACGGTAATTATATTAGAATTTTTTCTTAGTTGACGTTTATTTATTTTCGATCAAAATCAATAATAAAAAAATTGATAAAAATCACTTAAAAATAATGTTTTTCTTTTATAAGGATCTATTTACTTAATGGATTTATTTACTTATATATGTAGTATATAAACGATATTAAGTTGCTAGAATTTATTTTTTTAATCTCTGTTTTCGTCCATTTTAAAAAAAAAATTGAATAACTTTCAGGGTTACTTGAACTGTACAGTTTTTAACTATGTTCCGAACATAGGTATTTTCATTGAAAATTGCATTTATTAAGTATATATTTATTTAAAATATGACTCTTAAGCGACATTTATTAATTTATTTAACAATTGTAAGTGTTTGTGTTAAATAAGACCAATAAATAAGGGCCAGACATTGGTAGAATAAGTATTCGTCCAACCTATTTTAGAATTGTCAAGCTTTGTATTAACTTTTAAGTATTTCCTTTTGTTAAAAATAAATATTTACCTTCTTTTTATTGTATTCCTTTTTATTTCACTCATAGATCAGATCACTAATAGATCTGACTCATTTAAGTTTTTCTTTTATTTTTATTTTATTTAGTTACTTATGGTAATATATCGCCTAAAGTTCAAACTGTTTGTTTACATTTATTATAAGAAATCTATATTATATGCTATTTTTGATAGGTTTTTGGATTTATCAATTGTTTTTCCTTTGAAATTTTGTGTTAGATTGCTGAAATTATTTGTTTCCGTGTTAGAAATGGGAGTATGCTTTAAAATTTTAAACTCTAAATCTTTTAATTCGATTTAATTTAAGCATAAAAAAAAGTATTCAAAATATTTTTGCAAGTTCATTTTGAAGAATATCAACTAGAAATAGATAAGAAAGATGGTAAAATTTAGTGCCAAATTTACACTCATTCCTTGTTAAATCATTTTTAACAAAGATTAATGTAATTGGGTATATTATAGCCTACGTCACAGATCGTGTTATTCCTACTAAATTTAACAAGTAAACAGCATTTTCTGCGAACCTGATTTCTAGCAACAAGTAAAAGCATGAAGTGTCTTGTTATAAGTCGCTACTCCCCAGGTAGGAATTGTATTAGTCTAGTTCCTTTGGAAATAATTTATATTGTTGTTTTACCGAAGTTTATGAATTTAGTAAGCATATTTAAAACTCAGTTTATTAATTAAACTAAAAGGTAAATGTTATTCCTAGTAAGTGGAAGTAGTTGTGCTTTTTTCATATTATACCCAATT